TTATTGCCTTACAGGAAGTGCGATGGAAAGGGAAACGCGTAAGTAAATCAGACGACTACGCACTGTATTATAGCTGCCATGAAACGAGGCGGATTTATGGTTAACAGGATAATAAAATACATCGTCTCCAGATTTACTCCAGTAGATGAGAGAATCGCTATAATCCGCATCAAAGCGAAGTTCTTCTAAATAAGTCAAGACAAAGATCAGAAGACAAAGATGAGCAGACCAAATACATATTTTACGAGCGCCTAGAAACAGCATATGATCGCTGCCCTGGCCATGACATTAAAATTCTTCTAGGAGATTTTAATGCAAAAATCGGAAGGGAAAATATATTTGGCCCCACCGTCGGAAAATTCGCGAAGAAACATTCGACATCGACATGAGGTTGATTTGCTTCGCGCCAGCAAAAAACATGATAGTTTGCAGTTAGAGAAATGAAATTGATGATGTTGTGATAGACGGAAGGCATTCATCCAGTGTATTAGACGTCCGATCGATCCGAGGAGCGAATATCGATTCAGACCAATACCTTGTAGCAGCCAAGGTTCGCACTCGTCTTAATGTTGCAGCAAACGTGCGATTTAACACAACACGGAAACTTGACTTCGAAAAGCTGCAAACACAACAGGTAGACGAGGCCTACTCCGCTCAACATACAAAGAAAAAGAAAAATGTGAACGTGAGCAAATCGAGATGTACGGAAGTCGGAATGAAGTCCGGAAATTCTACCAAAGAGTAAAACACCAAACCGTAGGTTTTGGTGCAGGCACATCCTCCTGTACAGATGAAGAAGGAAAACTGTTGACAGATACAGACAGCGTGTTGAGGGTCTGGAAGGAGCATTTTGAAAAACTTCTGGTATTAAATAGTAGCGGTAAAGAGGATACCCCAGAACCAATAATAGATGACGATATAGAGTGTATACCACCTAGCCAAGATACCACCTAGCCAAGATTTTCACTCTGCACCAAATACTGGAAAAGACCCACGAAATACATACCTATTATACCAAAAACATACCACCTATTTGTCGACTATAAAGACGCATTCGACAGTCCTATCCGTTCAGAGGTGTTTAAAGTCATGTCTGCGTTCGGCATTCCTACAAAATTAATACGGCTTTGCAGTATAACATTAAGTTGCACAAGGTCAGCAGTTAAAGTCAGAAAGGACCTATCGGAGCCCTTCAGTACCGAACGAGGATCTAGACAAGGTGACAGTTTGTCGTGTGATCTGTTTAACATCCTGCTGGAAAAGGTCATGCGAGACGCAAAGGTAAACAGATATGGCACTCTGTACACCAAACAACACATGTTACTCGCCTACGCCGATGACATCGATATAATGGGTCGAACATTGCGAGCGGTAACAGCCACCTTTGAACAAATTGAGAAGGAGTCTGCCAAAGTGGGTCTGGCCCACCAAGCAGATGGTATCAACGCGTAAGACGTCCAGTAGACTCGGACCAACTGTGGAGCTTGAGAACTACAGGTTCGAGGTATTTTATATATCTTGGTACCGCATAAATGAGATCAGTTTTGAAATTCGGAGAAGGATTGTGATGACCAACATATGCAACTATGGTCTAAGAAAGCAGTTCAGAAACAAGTCCACCTCCCATCAGACCAAATTCACACTCTATAAGACGCTAATACTACCCGTGCTTTTATATGGATCTGAAGCATGGGTACTTGAGCAAGCAGATGAGGCAGATCTTGGGGTGTTTGAAAGAAAATTTCTCCGAAAGATCTACGGGCCGATCTGCGTTTTTTAAGCTCTGCTTATAGAGGACAGATATTTGCAGTAAAATATATTTTTTATGATTTTTTATGAATTGCTGTTCGTTAGTCTCGCTAAAACTCGAGAACGGCTGAACGGATTTTTCTTATCTTAGTCTTAAAATATTCGTAGAGCTTCAGGGAAGGTTTAAAAGGTGAGAAAAATTTAAAAATCGCGAAAAATATGCAAAAAAGAAAAAATATTATGAAAAAAATATTATGAAAAAATAAATATTCATTTGTCAAATATTGAAAATTTTCAAAATATTTTATTTTATTCAATTGGCATTGTAACGAAACTTTTTTTCTGAGAATGCAAAACAATAATTGAGATGAATTCGCGATCATTGTATGTACACGTTTTCCATAAAATTCACGTACATTTTGGAACAAATGCAAGGATGAAAATCTGAAGATTCAGAAAGAGTTCTGATTCTAAGACACATGCCCTAGATTATTCTTCTTGAAAATAATAATAATAGGAACACAGTATCGAAAAAGGTGGATTACTATTACATGGGGGATATTTGAAACCTTGGGCGAACATAACATGGCAGCCAAATACCGAATATTAAGGGATGCCGTTAGATGGGGATATCCGAATACTTGAGTCAATATGGAAAATTCTAATTAGGGAGAATTTCTGCCCAATAAGTATCCCTAATATTAGGTTTGGGAAAAAGAAATCCATTAGACCGGTGGAACGATCGAATTTTACAGGCATGTCGTAACATCGTCCAGGAGCTAAAAATTAAACCATTCACACAAAGCTGGATTCAAAAATAAGCTCAATGGTTGGGTGCCTCACCAATACCAATACCGCAATTTCAGAGCACTATCTTAAAGATTATTTAATATTGGGCTATCGTTATGTGAATTATACATCAACAATATTGCTATGGAAGACAACGTTTGCCGGGCCGGCAATGTTGAAGTGTTCGTGGATGTTCAGGGAAGGTTTAAAAGGTGAGAAAAATTTGAAAATCGCGAAAAATTTGCAAAAAATATTTTGAAGCATATTTGCATTTCCGCGAATTTAGTATCGAGCTATATGGAAAGCACCACGTCGTAGTTGTTATTTTGAGGTATTTTGAGCGAAAATTGGTAGCGTATCATTCCTTTAAGCATACATTTGTCATTTATTAAAATTTTTCAAAATATTTAATTTTTTTTAAATTGGATTGACATTGTATTGAAACATTTTTTTGGGAGAATACAAAAAATAATTGAGAAGTATATTATTGAATGCACACGCGATCATTGTATTTACACGTTTTCCATAGAATACAGGTACATATTGGGACCAATGCAAGGATGGAAAATCAGAAGACATTCTGAATCGAGTTCGTGGCCATTCAGGATATTCGGATTCTAAGATCCATGCCCTAGATTAATATATTTGAAAATAATAATATGAACATGTTGTTCCTTAAAGTAAATGAAATGTTGATATGCAACGGGAAATATGAAATCAGGTGGTTAAATGCCTAATCGTTTTTGAATATCTTTGAACTTATAAACAGACCACGTCGCATATATCCCATACCAAAAATGTGTATCACAGAGAAAACTAATATACCAGATATTTTCTTTGCAAAAATCTATCATTAAGTTCAGCTGTAAGGAGAACAACCGACAAAAAACCAGCAAAATTAGAAAAATAGCATAATATCTAATTTGATGGTTGTACCAAAACCTCCATCCGATGTTACCTATTCGTATTGAACATGCCAACTACCGATCACACTCAGATTGGAAAACGGGAGTAAGAACCTTTAGATATAGTGCATAACTTCTGGGATGATGTTATGCCAAATTATAGCCAACTCTATGAGAAGATTAGGTCAATGTATTGAAAATGGGGCGAGACCTGTATGTATTGCTATATCAAAACTTGGACCTAAATAGGTAATTTTTCGCAGAAATGTGTCTCACCTCCAATATCCCGGAATGACATATTTTAGCTACTACAATGGGAATGGAGATATATACATTTTTGGTAGGAATATTTGACAGCATATGAGAAATTATTGGGGTTACCATTATATGGGTGCTCCCCGGAAACTTGGATCAATATTGATAATTCTTTGTAAGGAGATTTTGTACTCACTGATCATTTAAAATATAAAATTACAGCTAATTTGGTTGAAACACGTGTCCAAACAAAATACAGACCAATATTGACAATTTTAAGTAGGGTTCATTCTACCAAATAAAACAACCAATTACAGCTGATTAGGTTGAAAAACGTGCCCAAAACTCCAAAAATGTGGAGTGCCATTATATGGAGGCTTTTCCGAAGCTTGCACAATTTTTTAAGGAACATTTTCTACTCAATGATCATCCAATATATAAAATTAAATGAAGGGATTACCTGGATACTTGCCAATATTGATAATTTTAAGTACAGATATTCTGTTGTAAACCGTGCCCAAGATCTTCAAAATATGGAATGTTTATTGCTACCGTTATATGGGCAGTACTCTGAAATATGTGCCAATATTGATAATATTTGGTACGGATATTTTCTGTTCAATTACAACCCATTCTGTTGAAAAATCGTCAAAACTTCTCATATTGCGAGGTACGGTTATATGGCTACCCTAAATAGTGAACCTAGGAGTAGTAGCAATGTATGTGCAAATTTCAGAGCACTATCTCAAATCGTGGAGGGTAGAAAAAGCTAATTTATTATTGGCCTATCGTTATGTGAATAATACATCAACAATATTGCTATGCAAGACAACGTTTGCCGGGCCCGCGAGTTTTAAATATATTTTTACTCCTCTTCTCATGTTGGAAGACGAATGTTTCAAGTTCAGCATTTCTTTAATGTCAAAAACAGAATTAAATGCAAGTTCGTTGCCTGACTAGCATAATGTGGCGTCCTTTTGTTATTTTGCAAGGATTAGCACAGATTTCATTGTTTTATTGGACAAAGTCCAAATCTTAACAAAAGGAAAAAATAAGTCTTCTCGAATATGACAGACAAAAGAAGGCGGAAATACTTACACATGGAAAATTAAATAGACTTAAGAAATAAATTTTAACTTCAAGTGACGGCATGAAGGAACCCATAAATCACAGAAGAAAAATGCAAACTATTTTTTTATAAAATATTTTTTTATCAATTGATATAAAAAATATTATTCTCAGAATTAAAAAAAAAATATTTTTTATAAAATATATATTATCATTAGAATTGTTTTTATTTATTTAAGCATTTTTGGTGACCAACCCTGCTGGACCCAGTAGATAATTCCATTTCGATGTGGTTCGCAATGGCTCAAAGCCTAACTCCTCTTTGGGTATACCATATTGTTGCAATTTCATTTCATATGTGGCCAATAGATCATCATGGGCCTTGGTCAGGCGTGCCAATTCATATCGTAATTCCTGTATCAGTTTATTCTTTTCATCGAGAACATTTTCCACCCGACGTTCCAGTTCCACCGGTGATTCAATATCCTTGCCCACCGACTTTACAACAGCAGCACAAGTATCCAAAGTCTCTTTAAGCATAATCTCCTGTTTCTCGCCCTCTCTCTCCATAATGGCTATCTTACGCTCCAGGAGAACATTTTTCAGGCCCGTCTTCTGTTGCAACTCAATGACGACATCTTCAAATTTCTCCTTCAGCTCCTCGCGTTCCTTAACAAGGGTATCGTTGCGTAGCAGTAAAGCTTCAGTTTCCCATGTTAAAGCCTTTAGTTGCTTCTCAACCTGGGCATTGCGGGCCTTAAGGCGACTCAACTGGGCCTTATCACGATCATAGAATTCTAATTTTCGTTTCATTACCACCAACTCCTGTTGAGCCTGTTCGAGAGGTTCTTTGAGTTTACGATTTTCCGAAGCCATATCATTAGCCAGACGATCACTTCTCTCCGCCTGTTTTCTCAACGTTTCCATTTGCTCTTTGAGAGAACTGATGAGGCCCAAGTTGTTTAAGGTTATGTCATTGTAATAGTTTTTCATATCATTAAAGGCCATATCGTGATTTTCAATTAATTTCTGAATTTGCAGATTTTTACGTTCCTCCACTTCGAACATTTGCATGCGATAGACTAATTCAATTTCATTTTTCAAATCTTGCATTTTCTCTTCGTGGAGGAGTGTTAAATCTTTGGTTTCCTTTTCGAATTTGGTGCGCAAATCTCTGGAAATGGAATTGAAAAAATTACATAGAAGGTCCTTGAGATCCATTATCCCCCACATTCTTACGTTATTTCCTCAATATGTTTCATTTTGAGTTCCTGCATCTGTAGCTCATGCATTTCCTGATCTTCTCGCCGTAACCGCTTCAATTCCCTGAGATCGCTCAGTAACTGCATTTCCTGTGTCTCATGATCTTCTTGAGCCATCTTCAGTTGGGTCATTGCCTCTGCTCTCACTTCACTGATTTTATTTTGATTTTCAAATTGTAAATGTTTCATCTGCTGCATGATTTGTTTGGCTTCAATATCGGCTGCCTGTTGCGACATTTCAACCTCATGATCCTTTTGCCTCAGTTCCGTGGTGGTATCTTCCAATTGGCCGCGTGTTATCTCCCAAAATGTTCGTATCTTATCACGTTCCATTTGAAAGAAATTACGTTCTTCGCGTTCTCGCTCCATTTCGGCTTTCAGCCGTAGGGCGAAGGCCTCTAATTGATCGCGACTCATGTTGGATGTATCAACGCCATCGATGAGGGCTACAATAAAAAAATAAGAAGAAAGGGTGTTAACATATCGATCAAGATTAAATATGGACTGTATTGAACCAGCATTCCAATCATAATAAATATTGGACCTACATTCAGGTTCCTATAGACAATTTTCCGAAAGATCAGTTAATTTCTGAATAGAACTTCCTCAAAGCACCACCATCTTAATGGGTCAGTTGTCCTTGTTGTTGGGGATTCCATTCTGATTATGATATGGACATTTTTTTAAGGCTTGGCTAATTTATCTTCATTTCCTACGTTTAATCTGCTTTTGTATGGGTTCCTGGTTGCATATGATCCAGAGACATCTTTTTATCAATATCTGTAGCTTTGAATGTTTTTAACACATGCCAGGTTGCAGAATAGATTTTATGCATCAAATATTTTAACCTTGGTTTTCCCGGATATATGTGAGATTTCCCATATCGTAAAATTTACAATTAATTTTTTGTTTAATTTTGAAATTTACAAAAGAAACCCGCAATATTGAATTCCAAAAATGTTAACCATCTAAATAAAACAATCAGTGCACCAATAATAATAATGGCCAGAAGGACCAAAAAACTCATATGGCCAATAATATCTATAGGCAATTAATTAAACATGTTTGGTCATGATGTTGTGGGTGTGTGGTATTAACATTACAAAAATGTGGGCGAGCAATAAAACGTAGCAATATTACCGAGCTACCTATACACCACACTAGCATACACACATTTTCCTTGGGATCAGTGTTGCCGAAACTGGGTTATGACTTTTTTTCTCAAAAATTATTTTTCTTTTTTATATCACATATACCAGAAATGGAAAAAAGTAAGAAATCGATGAACACTTGTCATTTTTATTCACAATTAAGTGCAGGAGTCTCATTTTAAATCGAATTAGTTTCCCCAGAACCAATAAGTGATGAAGGTATAGAGCGTTCGCCACCTAGCCAAGATGAGGTCAGATTATATCAATTAATCGGCTAAAGAATAATAAAGCAGCAGGTGTCGATGAGTTACCAGCCGAACTATTCAAGACTGATAGTTAGGAGCATATACCAGCATTCTGTGTCCCATGCACGAAAAGTGGAAAAGACGACATGTGTCTACTATCGAGAAATTATTCTACATCCCATCGCATATAATGTGCTTTACAGCGTGCTATGTGAACGACCGAAGCTACTTGTCAATGCCATTATTGGACCATACCAATGCGGCTGCAGACCTGGCAAATCCATCATTGTTCACTCTGCGCGAAATCCTGAAAAAGACCACGGAAAACACATCGATACAGTCGACCTATTCGTCGACTATAAAGCCACATTCGACCGCCCTATCCGTTCAGAGATGTTTAAAACCATGACTGTGTTCGGCATTCTTGCAAAATTAATACGGCTATGCAGGATAACTTTAACTGGCACAAGGTCAGTAGTTAAAGTCGGAAAGGGCCTTTCGGAGCCCTTTTATACCGAACGAGGATGACAGTTGTCGTGTGATCTCTTTAACATCCTGCTGGAAAAGGTCATACGAGAGCAAAGTTGAAAAGAATTGGCTCACTGTACACCAAACTACACATGTTACTGGCCTAGGACCAAGCAGATGGTATCAACACACAAGACGTCCAGTAAACTTGGACCAACTGTAGAACTTGAGAACTGTTGGCGAAAAGATGCTTCTATGGGCTAAGTAAGCAGTTTAGCCGCCAGAGCAAACTCTCACTCTACAAGACGCTGATACTGCCCATGCTGAACAACGAGTTATTCTCGGACATCGAGCTGCAGCGACTACGTTGGCTAGGTCATGTTGTGTAAATGGATGGAGATGCCCAAGGACAAAAGGCATATAAAAGCGAGCCAGCTGATGGCTCACGCAGAAGGGGAAGGTCACGATGGAAAGATCAAGTGGACGAGAACATTTCGAAATATGGTCATTCAGAATATGTTGGTCCCTGTAAATATTTAAATACTTATATACCCTTAAAGGTCAATCACTCTGTTTGAATATTCTGCCAACTTCTCCGGTCTATGTCTTTTTTAAATAAATCAACGCCATCGAATGAATTTTTTCTTTTAATTTTTCTTTTAATTTTTCTTTTAATTTTTTCTTTAAATTATGTGACCCGAAATATAAAAACATTCCCTTCATGTTGTAAAATTTCCTGATGCTCGGTTCAACAAACATAAATGAATGAAATGGAGCAACAACAAAAAACATTTTTATTTTATGAATTTTATACCTTAATAATTAAAAACCATTAAATTTCAAGTATTTTAAGTGAAATTATGGAATATTTTGCAAAAGACTTACTGGATGCTGTCTTCTTACTTTCCTTTGTATTTTTTGCAAAAGAGAATAAACAGCTTACTCTCTGGAATAGATTTAACTGAGTAAACGTTACTGGAAAAGTAACCAGACACAGCTAATATTGAACAATTGCATACAATTTATTTGGTATTGGCAACACTGCATGACAATTAAAGTTCAGTTTGATTGGAGTTTTCGTTTTGTTAAGTTGACAAGCATGTGCTCGCCGCGGTCGTGTTATGTTTTTCAGTTGTTCGGTTCATTATTATAAGAAAATTGTGTGTGATATATTTGCAGGAGTGTAATGTTAAATGTATTATATTTCAAGAATTTATTAACAAAAATATGCAAATCGTTATCAGTGTTCAATTATTTATCATGTGTTGTGTGTTTTTATCCATCCTTTAATGGCGTTGTTTCATTTGATATACATATATAAATATCTCTGTCGACGTCGTGTGATCTTTCTCTGCCTCTGCGGCGTATTGTGAACTGTCATAATTTTAAAGAGAGTGTTCTCATTATGGCGAATAATAACTGGTAAGTCTTTCTGAATATTTTTATTTCTAAATTTTACCATACATTTCATAAGAATATAGTAAATACCTATAATATATTTAATTTCGTGTATATCACAGTCGTCGTTTGTTCTTTCTCTCTCTCTTTCACAATTCTAAAAGTATGAGAGCATTTTATATCAGTGAATGTTGCCGAATGTGAGCATTTATGTTAAAATGTGAGCAAGTTTTGCTGCATATTTACGCTTGTTGTAAAAATTTTGGTAATTGTGAATTCCCTTTTCCCTTTAGTCTGGGAAGATATATATCGGGAAATAACAGTATATTTAAGTGATCTAATGAACGAAAATAATTAGTTTTGTCTGTTTTTTCATTTACTCTATGACAATATTTTTAACCCTTTGTGGCCCAATGTTGCCCACATGGACGACACATATCAAAAGAAAAATCTAAAAAATGCAAATGTTTGGTCAAGTAAAAGAAAAGGGCAAACATGTGTACAGTACCAGTTTGTATATACAGTCCAAATTATTTAAATCGCTTCGTATTCGAATTGAATTGTATCATCAAAATTATTTTTCATTCTTGTAAAAATTAACCTAAAGGGTAATTTCAGTGATTTTTTCGATGACGTTCCATTTACGTTTTTTGATATTGAACTTTTTTAATTTCACTGAAAATTAAAGTCCGATGGTAGTTGTGTTGGTTGGTTTGGTGTAGCCCCCATATAACGGTACGCCCCAATATTCGGTATGTAAGGAATTTGGGACACGTTGTTCAACCAAATTGGCTGTAATTTAGTATTTTGGGTTCTCATGCATGTCACATCTCCGTAACAAAAATTATGAATTTTGACCCACGTTTCCGGGTACCCCCAATATTCGGTATTTTGGGGATTTACGATGCTTTTTCAACCGTATTACCTGTAATTTTGTATTTTGAGTTCTCATTGTATAGCACATCTTGTTACTAAAAATTATTATTAGTGAACCAAGTTTCAGTGTAGCCCCCATATAACGGTACCCCACATATCCGTACTAAAAATTATTTCACTGCCCCAAATGATCAATATTAATCTCATTTTTTGTATAGCCCAATAAAACGCTAGGCCCCAGTTTAGGTAATCTTCTTTTTCTCACGTCTTCTTTGGGGTTCCATCATAACATAAGTCTTCCCCTAGTATTCCCGATTAATTTTACATATGGGCACTTCCGCAGTCACTCGCACTTTAAATGTTACTTTAAAAGTTGAATAAATCGAAAATAAATTATTTGTTTACAATTCTCCCTGGAATAACCCTGCTCATCAACACCATATAAAAAAAATTCTGGCAACCATAATACAAAAAAAAAAAAAAAAAATCAACGTTAAGTAGAAAACATTCTGAGAGATTAACAAAATGGCTTCAGACCAAATAGAAGCTGTGTGGACGAGGACAACACCCTACGAGTAATAATAGAACAATCTATGAAATGAAACACCCACTTAAGCTATTGTTCATCGATCAAAAAATATTTCTATACCATTAGACGAACTGTCATATGGGAAGCAATGCGCAAACAAGGACTATAATCCGAATAATAACAGCGATGTACGATGATGCCGAACTCTCAGATAGGGTGCTGAAATTTTCATAAATTTCATATATCGATCTACGGCATAGCCCCCACATAAGTAAATCCCCCGATTTTCGCTATCTAATGGTTCTTGAGCGCGTTTTCAACCAAATTGGTTGAAATTCGTTACATTGTGCTCTTATTAGGTTTGCAACTTAATTTCTACAATAAATAACATGAATATGGGTCCATTTTCGGTATTTTAAGGAGTTCTTTGGGGCGCTTTTCAATTGAAGTCGCTATAATTTGGTACTTTGAGTTCTTATTGGATAAAAAACCTCTCCAGCAAAAATTATAAATATAGGTCCACTTTTTCCGGTAGTCCCCATATAACTGTTCCTTTAAACATTTCATAGTTATGACGGTTATGAACCCAATATTTAATTGAATTCGCCGTAATTTGATATTTTGTAGTTGTATTTGGTAACAAATCTCCCTCTCAAAATTTTTTTACATAGGGATAGTACCTATATAACCCCATTTTATTATAAACTTATTTTTTCTACGTTTTGGGGAATTTTAAATCTCCATCGTTAATTTTCAATGTAAATCTCCATCTCTTACAGAATAGCCATTCATTCCGTCAGTTGGGCTATTTTACGCAAAGCCGTTCAAAACTGCTACTTCCGAGAAAATAAATAAATCCAAATCTTCCAAAAATATTGTATTAAATCCATATTTGATTACCGTTAATTGCAACTACCCATTCTATTTGAAATATTTTTAAATTGTAATTATTTTCTAATGTACAGCTGAGGGCACATTACTATTTGGTGTATTAGTTTTTACCATAACTGATCATTGGTCGATAAAACAAACCTCCAAAAATGGCAATATACTTAACTAGGCCAAATTACAACAAATTGTAATAACATATGTGGACACAAGACATTAACAAAACATTGTTGCAACAACAACAACAATACACCATATTTAATGAAATAGTAGTTTGGTTCTGCACCAGCCCGAAAAAAATACAGCAACAAACATAATTGGTAAAATAAAAATTTTAATTGCCTGAACGAGAGAGAGAAAAAAAATAAAAACAGCACAGTAACAATTTCAAAATTAGTGGGTGAGTTCACCAGCTGCCCCTTCTGCTCTGTCCCCGCTTTTTTTCTTAACTATGGGAATTTACTAAATGGACTCATGTGGTTTCATAAATGGCCCAGTTGTCTTCTGTCCTCTGGGTTCCGCTATGCCTCATCCTATTTATCCAACAAACTTTTACGACAACAAAGATAACCGAGCGAAGTGCAAAAGCGTTTCTATTATGTGGCCGTTAAACGTTGCAAAACGGAAACGGGGAAATTTCTACTACCACTACTATATGACACATGTATTTTTTCGTACCATCGTACAATACATACATATGTAAAGGAATATAAAATGTCAATGTTGAATGTTAATTGTTGTACAACTGTCGAACATTGTGTGACCATTTGAAAGTATATACATATGTAGATAACAGTGGTACATATTGCTAAAAATTATCAGAAGTATTGCATAATATAGTAGTGTTATAAAAAAGTATGTGTAAATCGGAAGAAGTGGCCCGACATTCCCTGTATTCGAACTTGATTTAAATTTGGAAGAAATGGAGCCACCTGGCGCCATACAAGAATTAAAGATGAGGCACCATCATTATATATTGAAAATTTTCTGCCAAAAAAAAATATATATATATATATATATTACTCCACCATTAATCAGGCGGAATATTCAAGTGGCCCTATATACTTTTATTGCAAAAAATTGTCACTTCGGTTTAAAAATGTAGCTACGGCTATCAAAATATGCCTTTTATAGTCCTTAAAAAATATTGTTTAATAAATACACGCGGGTGGCGTAGGGGATGATAGATACCAAGCAACGGCTCTGATTGGCTTTAACATGGCGAAGTCCTGGCTTATCTTGGTCCCTCTTTCATGTGAACACTGACCTCCCCGCGGTGCCACTTGGGGAGCTCTTTTCATTGCCCGATGAAATAGTGAGCTAATATGTTCCGTGAGTTACGTAATGCGATGGAGAATTATCGGGAGAAAAGGAGAGAGGAGAAACGACTTTTCAGAAAAAAGAAGAAAGAACAAGAAAAACGTGATCGTGAGCAAATCGAGATGTCCAAGAGTCAGAATGAAGTCCGGATATTTTACCAACGAGTAAAACAACAAACCGAAGGTTTTGGTGCAGGCACATCCTCCTGTAGAGATGAAGAAGGAAACCTGGTGACAGATACAGACACCGTGTTGAGGATCTGGAAGGAGCATTTTTAAAGCTTTTGGTATCAAATAGTGGCGGTGAAGAAGGTACCCCAGAACCAAGAAGAGATGATGGTATAGAGTGTATACCAGCTAGCCAAGATGAGGCCATAAAAGCAATTAATCGGGTCAAGAACAATAAAGCAGTAGGAGCTTATGGGTAACCAGCCGAACTATTCAAGGCTGGTGATCAGATGCCGGTCAGGAGCATGCACCAGCTGATTAGTACACTTTGGCTAAAGGAATGCATGCCCAATGATTGGAACCTCAGCATCCTGTGTCCCGTGCATAAAAAAGGAGACAAGACGCATTTGACAGCCCTATCCGTTCAGATGTGTTTAAAGGCATGTCTGCGTTCGGTGTTCCTGTAAAATTAATACGGCTATGCAGGATAACTTTAACTGCCACAAGATCAGCTGTTAATGTCGGAAAGGACCTCTCGGAGCCCTTCAATACCGAAAGAGGATTTAGACAAGGTGACAGTTTGTCGTGTGACATATTTAACATCATGCTGGAAAAGGGCATACGAGATGCAAAGGTGAACAGAAATCGCCTTCTATACACCAAACTGCGCAAAAGACCGACTCGCCTGGATGTCGTTTTTAAGCTCGGCTTATGGAACGAAAGTTCTGTCACAAGCCAGCTAAGTAAGGGGGTTTTCGAATGTGGGCAACTAATAGTGCAATTATAACCAATAAATCGTTTTAAGTTAACTTTTCCTCCGAATATATTTTTGTAAATACGTCCTAATAATCCCCATGTAAAATGAAAAAAATCTCTATAGCCTGATAACAATAACATTCAAATGGACAACATTATTTTCTGAAACAAATAGAAATAGAAAAGATTTTTTGTTGTTCTCATCGCTCGTTTTTTGCTACACTTTCCGTTTCTGTTGGCTTTTTGGGGCTGTCGAAACTATTTTCTTCTGCTGCCATTGTAGCATTTGTTAGCTAGTAATGTCACAATGAAACAATTATGCACTTTTTGGCAGCTGAGAATTTGAAATGATTTTTTTTTCGAACAGATTTAACAGGCAATGGCTTTAAAATTAAAAAAAAATCAAATTCATATATTCAAATGAAATTTACTTACTTGGCTTGGCCTTGCCCTTTTTTCCTTTCTTCGGTTTGGGAGGCTGAAAATAATATGTAAGACAAATAATTAGAAATATCATATTACGAAATAAAATTAAGTTAGTATCCTATGCAGGCATTTGATTATAAAATGTTGATAAATAAAATTTCTTTACATAATTGTGCTTGTTTAATGTCCTCCAAAAAAGGAAAAACAAATATTTGCTTCACTTCTTTTTTGGCATTGTATTTAGTCCAACATGCCTGCAACTGAAATTTCAAGGCTTCCGTTAACAAACAAAAAACCATCATTGCAAAATGTTATCGTGTTTGATCGTTCCTTTTTTCCCAGCTGTCTTGTTTATTAAATGCAATACAATTTCTGTCGGATTAAAGCGCAAGTACAAATGCGAGTATATAAAATCAGGACATATATTTATATTTGAAGTTTATTTTTGTGAGGAAGCTGACTGTTCTGCTTTTGTCAAGGTCTTCTGTCAATTTGATGGCGTCCAAACAAAAAAATTTTATCTCGTTTTCATGGTACAAAACATTTAATGTAAATGTAAGTAAGTGATACTGGAAAATTTTTATATTTTAAAAATCCTTCGTTCTTTTAGTCCATGAAAAATATTTAAAACAAATCGAAAATTCCTATAGTCTTTGAAAAAAATAATTTTAAAAATCGAAAATTCCTATAGTCCTTGAAGAATATCTTTTAAAAATCCACGCTTCCTTCAGTACTTGAAAAAAATCCACGCTTCCTTTAGTCATTGAAAAATATTTCCTAATATGTCTACTCTTCCTTTAGTCCTTGACAAAATATTCTTTAAAAATCCACGCCTTGTATTGGTCGTTAAAAAAATATTCTTTAAAAATCCACGCCTTGTATTGGTCGTTGAAAAAATATTCTTTAAAAAAATCCACGCCTTGTATTGGTCGTTGAAAAAATATTCTTTAAAAAATCCACGCCTTGTATTGGTCGTTGAAAAAATATTCTTTAAAAAATCCACGCCTTGTATTGGTCGTTAAAAAAATATTCTTTAAAAATCCACGCCTTGTATTGGTCGTTGAAAAAATATTCTTTAAAAAATCCACGCCTTGTATTGGTCGTTGAAAAAATATTCTTTAAAAATCCACGCCTTGTATTGGTCGTTGAAAAAATATTTTTTTTTTAAAATCCACGCCTTGTATTTTTCGTTGAAAAAATATTCTTTAAAAAATCCACGCCTTGTATTGGTCGTTGAAAAAATATTCTTTAAAAAATCCACGCCTTGTATTGGTCGTTGAAAAAATATTCTTTAAAAAATCCACGCCTTGTATTGGTCGTTGAAAAAATATTCTTTAAAAAATCCACGCCTTGTATTGGTCGTTGAAAAAATATTCTTTAAAAAATCCACGCCTTGTATTGGTCGTTGAAAAAATATTCTTTAAAAAATCCACGCCTTGTATTGGTCGTTGAAAAAATATTCTTTAAAAAATCCACGCCTTGTATTGGTCGTTGAAAAAATATTCTTTAAAAAATCCACGCCTTGTATTGGTCGTTGAAAAAATATTCTTTAAAAAATCCACGCCTTGTATTGGTCGTTGAAAAAATATTCTTTAAAAAATCCACGCCTTGTATTGGTCGTTGAAAAAATATTCTTTAAAAAATCCACGCCTTGTATTGGTCGTTGAAAAAATATTCTTTAAAAAATCCACGCCTTGTATTGGTCGTTGAAAAAATATTCTTTAAAAAATCCACGCCTTGTATTGGTCGTTGAAAAAATATTCTTTAAAAAATCCACGCCTTGTATTGGTCGTTGAAAAAATATTCTTTAAAAAATCCACGCCTTGTATTGGTCGTTGAAAAAATATTCTTTAAAAAATCCACGCCTTGTATTGGTCGTTGAAAAAATATTCTTTAAAAAATCCACGCCTTGTATTGGTCGTTGAAAAAATATTCTTTAATAAATCCAAGCCTCAGTATTGGCCCTGGAAAAATATTCTTTAATAAATCCACGCCTTGTATTGGTCGTTGAAAAAATATTCTTTAAAAAATCCACGCCTTGTATTGGTCGTTGAAAAAATATTCTTTAAAAAATCCACGCCTTGTATTGGTCGTTGAAAAAATATTCTTTAAAAAATCCACGCCTTCTATTGGTCGTTGAAAAAATGTTCTTTAAAAAATCCACGCCTTGAATGGATAGTCCTTGAAAAAATATTCTTTAAAAAATCCACGCCTTGAATGGATGGTCCATGAAAAAATATTCTTTAAAAAATCCACGCCTTGAATGGATGGTCCATGAAAAAATACTCTTTAAAAAATCCACGCCTTGAATGGATGGTCCTTGAAAAAATATTCTTTAAGAAATCCACGCCTTGAATGGATGGTCCTTGAAAAAATATTCACTAAAAAATCCACGCCTTATGGAAGCCTTGAAAAAATATTCACTAAAAAATCCACGCCTTATGGAAGCCTTGAAAAAATATTCACTAAAAAATCCACGCCTTATGATAGCCTTGAAAAAATATTCTTTAAAAAATCCACGCCTTGTATTGGTCCTTGAAAAAATATTCTTTACAAATTTAAGCTTTGTATTGGTCCTTGAAATACTCTTTACAGTTTCGATTTTTTTAAATTAAACTCTTTTTTAGTCCTTGGAAAATGTCCTTAATAAATTCCACGCTTCTATTTATGTTTAAATTTTCTTATTTGAACATTTGTTTGGCAATTTCCTTTGGTTAGAATCCTTACTTGACTTGATCCGAATAATGCAACGCATTTTTCTTTTAAACAAATATGGATGATGACGCGGCTTTGAAAACAATTCCTTTGCAACAGATGTTGGTTTATTTCATATTTTATGACGGCAAATTATTCAAAATAAACGAAGGAATAACAACAACTACTCACCGCTTCCATGCAGAGAGTCCTGCAGTCAGATTGTAAAAATAAAACGCCAAAAATAAACGGATGGCATTAACACACAGTCACAAGTACACTCACACACACAGATGCAAACATCAGGAAATGAGCGGACATAAGTGAAAAAGTGTTTTATTAAATAAACAGTGGAATCCGGATATATGTAATTCGGAATAATGTATACAGTCTGATCATACGAATATTTACATCGCCAACAGTAAAGAACTTAAAGAAAGTCGAAAATTAGTGGCCTTGCTGTTATGACCTCTCAATTTTGTTATCCTGCCCTTACTGTAGAAATTCCTTTTGGCCTCAATAATTAAACAGATCCATTTAAATAAAACTGTCATATCGTTTTTGGCGCCAAAATCAGATTTTATGTGAGAACGAAAAAAAAAAACGAACACCGGGTTATTTTTTTATTCTGTCCATCATCGCTGTTTATTTAATAGCAACAACATTTTAAAGGCCATCAAATGAATAAAAAAACGTTGTGTGTTTTTTATATTTGTCATAAATATTAAATACAACAGATTTAATATGACTACATTTGTCCTGCACTACCATATCGCGGACATTTTTTTCCGTATGGTAGTTTTGAGGGAAGTCAAATGCATGTAGAGTGTGGACCCATCACCGCCGCCAGCCATATTGATGCAGGGCAACAGCAGCTTATGTCATGTGAAAAATTACATTCAAAAGGCAAAGAAGGATTAAAACCCCAAATTGTTTGTGGGTTGTGTGTGTGTTATTCCCGGGCAAATGGAAAAATATTTTGTGGGAAAATATTTTTACAATGTTGTTCTACTCAATGACAAGTTTCTTTTTTTCGAACTTCAACTTGTTGGACATACTTTAAAGTTACGTTGAATGACTAATGTGGGCCGAAAATAATGTTTTTTTAGGGATACAAAGAATATTCTGTCAAGGACCATTACAAGCGTTACCATTACGAGCGTTTCTTAAACAATAGTTGTTCAAGGACTATAAAACTAGCTATATTTTTTCTAGGACTATATGAGGCTTGGATTTTTTAAAGAATATTTTTTCAAGGACAATATTAGGCGTGGTTTTCTTAAAGGATATATTTCAAGGACTATATGTGGCGTGGATTCTTAAAGGATATATTTCAAGGACTATATGTGGCGTGGATTCTCAAAGGAATATCTTTTTTAAGGACTATATGAGGCGTGGATTTCTTAAAGAATATTTTTTTCAAGGACTATATGAGGCGTGGATTTCTTAAAGAATATTTTTTTCAAGGACTATATGAGACGTGGATTTTCAAGGACGATATGAGGCGTGGATTTTCAAGGACTATATGAGGCGTGGATTTTCAAAGGAATATTTTTTCAAGGACTATATGAGGCGTGGATTTTCAAAGGAATATTTTTTCAAGGACTATATGAGGCGTGGATTTTCAAAGGAATATTTTTTCAAGGACTATATGAGGCGTGGATTTTCAAAGGAATATTTTTTCAAGGACTATATTTTCAAAGGAATATTTTTTTTTCAGGCGTGGATTTTCAAAGGAATATTTTTTCAAGGACTATATGAGGCGTGGATTTTCAAAGGAATATTTTTTCAAGGACTATATGAGGCGTGGATTTTCAAAGGAATATTTTTTCAAGGACTATATGAGGCGTGGATTTTCAAAGGAATATTTTTTCAAGGACTATATGAGGCGTGGATTTTCAAAGGAATATTTTTTCAAGGACTATATGAGGCGTGGATTTTCAAAGGAATATTTTTTCAAGGACTATATGAGGCGTGGATTTTCAAAGGAATATTTTTTCAAGGACTATATGAGGCGTGGATTTTCAAAGGAATATTTTTTCAAGGACTATATGAGTGGAGCCTTTAAAAATTTATTTAAGAAATCTACGCCTTAATTTAAAAATTTTTTAAGGAAATCTATATGGAGCCTTTGGATTTTCAAAGGAATATTTTTTCAAGGACTATATGAGTGGAGCCTTTAAAAATTGATTTAAGAAATCTACGCCTTAGTGGAGCCTTTAAAAATTGATTTAAGAAATCTACGCCTTAGTGGAGCCTTTAAAAATTGATTTAAGAAATCTACGCCTTAGTGGAGCCTTTAAAAATTGATTTAAGAAATCTACGCCTTAGTGGAGCCTTTAAAAATTGATTTAAGAAA